CAAATTAAGTGTCCACATTTGTGGTCAAGTGGAGGTAACTGATTTGAGAAATTCGTCAAGTAACACATGCCCACAGAGTGATGAAGTAGATTGTCCAATTCAAGCTAAGGGACTCAAGAAAAGAGAATCAACTAGTAAGGGAAGAAGGATGATCAAAGGTGGGATGGAAAAATCTATTGCAAAGAAGAAAAGAATGCAATCTAGTCAGGTACTTACATGAAAAATTGCTTATGATTAAAATGCACTAGATTAATAAACTAAAACAATGATTTTTTTTTTATATTATTATTAATGACCCACTTTCATTTATCTGTAATGGCACCTAGCAATTTTGTGCTATGGATTATGGTTTTTCATTGTATGTAGGGTGCTGCTGTTTATACTCCCCAATGTCAATCTCAGCCTCCTTTCGGCATGGGAAATAATTCTATTCAGGTAATATTCAATAGTAATGTGGTCTTTCTATGGTTAGTTTTATGAATTCCTTTCATTGAGTCCTCTCTCTAGTTGTATGAAATTATGAACTATCTGAATACTTTTAATTTTTTTTTATCTTTAATTGGTTTGCCTTGCAATGTAGTCGGGTGATGGCTTTTAATTTGTCTGCGTTACCTGTATGTAGGGTGTTGCCGTTTATACTTCCCAAGGTCACTCTCAACCTCGTTTCGTCATGGGTAGTAATTCTATTTAGGTAATATTTATTTGTGTGCAACCTTTTAAGAAAATGTTAAATAATGTTTCTTTTTTTTTTTTCAAAATTTTTGTTTGCATACTTTATGTGACAACCCCGTTCTGTATTATACTGTTAACTCATTAATTATATAAGTGTTAATGTGCTTGATATGAAATTTGATGTTAATTATATGTTTTATGTGATTTTTGAATGCCTATCTATTGATTGTAGACATATTTGTTACAATTTCTGCTATAGTCCGAAATTGAGGGCTGTACAGGGGTCAGAAAACCAAAATTGATTAATTTATTGTGTTCAGCGTAATTTTTAGAGCCTATGGTGAAATTTAATTAAAATTGATTCAGATCAAATTAATTAGATTAAATTGAATTAAATTAAGGTTGATTAGTCTTAATTATGCTTAAGTAGTTTAAGCTAATCACCCACTATATATTTGTTGAGTTAGTGCCTAAGCTCATAATTTTGAGCTCATCTTCACCATTTTGTTGAGATTAAGCTATATATATAGAGAGAGAAATCTTCATCTTAGAGAGAGAGAAGCTCAATCTTGAGGAATTGGCTTGGAGGATTGAAGAATTTGGAAGCTAGGCTCAAGAAATTGCTAAACCTAGCCTCATTGAATATAGTAGGTAAGAGTTTAAACCTCAATTTGGGAGTTAAGTTGTGGATTTAAGAAGATAATGAGATTAAATGTGTGGTTGAACAAAGATTGTAGGAATTGAGAT